ACTAATTTTCTGGGTGCTTCCTCTTTCTTCCATTTCCTCTTTTTCTTAGCTCAGCCCTCCTACTCCCTCATTCCTATTCATCATTCATTCTACTCATGAGTCATTCATTCATTCTTGGAGTGTTATACCTAGCTGGTTGGTTCAGTGGCGTTTTACCACATTTGGTTTGCCAGTTTTTTGAAAAATAGTTAATTGAAAAATCCTTAAGATTCAGTTTAGAAATCAGAGTTCTGAATATGCTCAACATTTCGTATGTTCTTTCCATTTGTGGTAACTAGGGCTTCCCCAGTGATTCAGATGGTAAAGAATCTGCCTGCAATGCAGGAGACGGGGTTTGACCCCTGGGTAGGGAAGGAGGGAAAGAAGGGAAAAAGGGAAATGCAACCCACTCCAGTCTTCTTGCCTGGAGAATTCCATGGACAGAGGAGCCAGGCGGGCCATAGTCCATGTGGTCACAGTAAGACACAACTAAGCAACTAACACTTTCACTTATGGTTACATTTAACAGAATGACATATATTGCTACTGTATCAAAAATGTTACTTTTGTATGAACTCTCACTTTGATGTAATAAAGTAAGATACAGCTAGTGGTAGCATGCTGAGTATCAGTCAGGGTCCCACATGGAAACAGATGCCATACTCCAGATAATTCTAGGATATTTACAAAGAGCGGGGCAGGAAAAGGGGACCACAAGAATCAATGCAGCAATCAGTCAGTAGAAACACCCCTAACGCAGAAAAGACAGGGGACGGCAGCTGCTAACAGTCCCTCAAAGGAGAGAGGATGTCATACTGAAAGGAACCTGCAAGTGGAGAGGACATAGCTAGCCCAACTCCCAAGGAAGGAAGTAGGGGAATAAATACCTTGACCTCTCAGGTTTCTTCCTGTCTTCTGCCTGAGCTCCTTGGTGGCTTAGCTCAAGAGGAATCCAGAGCGAGGGAACCCACTGGTGAGGACAGGCAAGCCTTCCGGCAGAGTGTGGCTGTGAAAGCACAAATGGATGATACCGGGAACACACGGCTTGTTTTACTCAGAACTAGTCCTTTTCGTGTCTCAGCAGCTTGAATGTGAATTAACCAGGACTCTGATTATTATGAAGGAAACTCAACTCGATGTCAAAAAAAGAAAAGGGAGGGAGGAAGGAAGGAAATGGAAGGCAGGGGAGGAGCTAATTTTATGGAAATAAATGCTGCTGGGGCCCATGCTATCTCCCTCCCCTCTGCATGCCGGTTTGTTTTGGATCTAAGTGGGGACCTGGACTCCAGCAGCATCCAGGAAGCATCTTTAGAGCAGTATAATCAGACAAGAGATGAGACTCATCTTCCAGTTCCATGGAGAAAAGTCTTAGATATTTTACTAAGAGATGTAAATCAAGATTTTGCATAAATGGGATCAGAAGACTGACTGGAAAAGATGGTAAGATATTATTTCTTACCAAACTTATATAAATATAATATAATCCTCACCAAAATCTCCCCTGAATTTTTCTGGAGTATGAAAAATAAAGTCTAAAAAGTTTATCAAGAATTTGCCAGAACATCAACATTGGGGGAAAAAAAAAAGGCATCACGAAGGCTACTTAATTATTAAACTGCATTATCAAGTGATTAGTCATTGAAAGTATTATACTTATGTCAGAATGTCAAGTTAATTAGACAAAACCAATGGGGTGGGAGATGCATTAACCAGTAATTGCTGCTGGGAAAATTAATGGTATGGGGGGAAAAAAAAAAATCAAGCTAGACCCTTAAGTCACATTTTATGCTCTCAAAACTTCCACGTGAATTAAAGAGTGATGTAAAACACAAAAGCATCAAATAGAACAGATGAGATGAATATTTAATCTTGGGATGCAAAGGACGTTTAGGAATAAAAAAGATTTGACAACATACAAATGTACAACTTAAATGTCAAAAAAATACATGCAAAATTAAAAGGCAAACAGTAAACTAGGAAAACATTAAGTTGAGAACATTTCTCTACTGTATAAAAATATTTAATAAATGTTTATTAAATGATGTGTTTGTTCATTAAATGTTACTTTTCTGGAATCATTAGGGAAAAACAAAGCTAATAATTTTAGATAAAATAACAGTTAAAAAGCAATTAATACCTTATTGGAAATAAATGCTTTTGACTGGCCATTCATAATTTAGCATAATCTTATTTTCATTATACCTATAATAGAAGTGTTAAACACACATAGAAATAAGGCTTGAATATTTTTCATTTTTAGAAAATTAAATCCCTTATGATCAAAAGTGGTTATTCTATTTTATATCCTTCACATAGAATCTTTTTTTTAGAATCTTCTTCTATGAATAACTTCATTTAAATCTCTTAGATCTGTCAGTACATTAAAACCGTACTTGCTGATATGAAAAAAAAAAACAAAAAAACCCTGTAAAAACAATTGTCACTCACCTGACTTGGAAAATTAATCACACAGAATAAGTTTAATAATGTTCTGAATTTAAAAAGAATTGATTTAAGTCTGCTCAAGAGTCATAACTCAATACTTTTTTTCCCCCCCAATGGAAGAAACTCAAAATATACTTTGCTTTAAATGCCATTTTAAAGAAACTGAGAACATATGAATAGTGGCTAAAAAGATAAATGGGTACATTCAATGAGAATTTTTATTTCAATTATCCACAAAACAATAATATTTTATAAAAATATTAAGTTTTAGGCTACCATTATTCATTAAAAAAAGTGTGCTAGAAGGCTGTTTTTACCAACTCCCTTTTTTGGTAAGGAAAACACAGTAAGAGGCTGAAGAAAAGCTGTTGGAAAAAAAATCTTCAAATGTACAAACTTGTTTATTTCTCTCAGCAATTTAAAAATACATAAACCATTTAAACTGAATACACGTTAAGTTAGTGTTTTATTTCCTAACTATACAATTGATATATTATAAGGAACTGTTCCATTCAATTAAAACCTAATGAATGCCATCAACTTTTTCTGGCTTATTTTTCGGAAGGAAATTATTAGTACATAAACATAATTTTCTCCTTTTTAAAATGCTTAGAAAAATTGAAATATCATAGTTCACACAAAGCCCTTTAAAAATCTGAAGTCACAGGTTGAGGATGTAAAAGGTAAATGATGACAGCAGTCTTCTTGGGAAAATCTTCGTGGAAGGATTCAATACTATGCAAGTTACGTAAACATAAGAAACCACTGCAAGTTTTAGTACCAGAACTACTGCCAACCTGCATGAAGTTCATCTGTCACATTTTAAAATGGCTTGAATCTCAACACAGATGCCACAGCACAGAACTGTTTATTTAATGACCAAACCAGGTAAGCGATGATGGTTAGTAATGATATTCCTAAAATGCTGGGACTGGATGTGTTGCTATATTTAAAATGTGACTACAAGAGAGAGTGTTTTAAAACGTAAATACCAGACTTTTGTCAGACTCAGTTCCTTTGCTAGACACTTAAACCCGTGACGCTGCCATTCAAATTCATATTCTGGGATTTTAATTTTCTTTTTGAGTTACTCATAAGAGTCAGTATTATTCTGTATGTTTCACTGGTGTACTTTAAATACGCAACAACTGTCACCCTCTTTACACCAATTATACTGAGTACGTTCTCCTCAAATCAACTAAATTCTAAAAAGGGAAAAATGATCATCATTAAGTATACTTAAAAACGGAATGCAGATTTCAACATGGACTTGAAAACTGGAGTTCTAAAAACGTCCTGCATAGAAGCTGTATCACTGGAATTAGTGGGAAGCCTTAACTTAGCTATTTGAGGCTACAGCACTCATTTAGTGTTTGTGTTAAGAAAGATTAGTTTTATAGTCCTACCTATAACTCTTAAAATCTCAGAAAATAGATTAAGTGAGGAGCTTTGAGTGCCAGCAAAGCCATTTTGTCACTCCTTAACATCAACGTTAAACACAACATCCCATCTATCTGTAAAACTTTCACATTTTCTTTTCTCATAATTTCTTTTAAATACATTTTCCTCTCTGTTAGTCTATATTCAGTATGAGCAAAAGTGCATTCAAGTCCCTGATCTAGTGATATTTTCCATTTGTGGCACCCACCGTTAAGTACATATTAGCAATCTCACAGTACCAGTCTACTTTTCAAAAATGACTGTTAAAAAACGCTGGGTTTATTTTTTTCATGCTATCTAAAGATTAAAAGATTTCCCCTTGGATCGTATAATTTCAATTATATATTGCCTTTAAAAAAAAAATCAATGCAACCTTACAAAAGATTAGCTCACTTTCTAATTACCTTCATTATTTTAAACTGAGCTATTAAGTAATGATTAAAATGAAAAATGTCTTCTACTTTCCAGTTTCATGAGTATATTGAGTATTAACACAGTGCATTATACTTTCAAATTCCACTGATGTCATCTAACATTTAATCAAGTTTTAGATGCCGTTTCCTTTTTGCTTCTAAAAACCTGGCCCACTTCCATGCAAACAGAGGCATATATAAAGGTTGCATGTTAACTGTTCAACTTAGAAAAAACTTCTAAGAAGAATAAATGCAAGATATTTTTAAAAACTGGAATGGAATTGTTTGGTCCCGTGAAAATTCCATAATTCTAGATTTTATTATGGTATAACTGATTTTAATCTATCAAGTTTTGCCTATACTGATTGATAAATTTCTCTTAATTATGAGTTTGGGGAATAAAAGAAAGGGAGTGATTCATAAGCAGTAGCCTTGCTGCTCTTCATTGTCATGCCATCATTCACATGGTCATCCAAATCTTAACTATATTTTCTTTGGACCCTGAAATCAGCTGGAAAAATTCATCATTGGTACTTTAGAGTTTAACACTTGGGAAAAAAAAAAAGTGGTTTTGTGCAACCATGTCTGGAATTCCAGTTTACCATCAAAAACATGCAGGGTGAAGAAGATTTTCTTCTTTTGATTCCTGTACGTCAGTGAGGAAGTCTACACAAGTTCTTTACAATTTTGGCAGATCGGTGCATATAAAATAGGCTTCTTGGATTATAAATTTTCTCCTGGCTGGTACTGTGGCTCTGTAGCAGTGAAATAGTCTTCCAGGAAGGACTGGATATACTCAAACGTTGGTCTCTCGTCAGGGTCCTTCTTCCAGCACAGATTCATCAATTCATGGAGGGACTCCGGGCAGCCCTGGGGGCACGGCATCCTGTACCCTCGCTCCACCTGCTCCAGCACCTCGCGGTTCACCATACCTGACACACGGCAGGAGACGGTGAGAAACAGTGCCCCGCAGCACCGCGGGCCGCACAACAACCCCCAACCACCGATTCCAGACAGCCAAGTGAGCTTCTTTACCGAAACGGTCCTCTCCGACAGGGAAATAAAGCTTAAATGTCAAAGGACATCAGCAAAAGCTTAGAAAAATGCTAATCTGTTTCAACATATCTAACTTTCTTCATTCCACCTGAAATCTGGTTTTTAGTACTCATGCCTTTCAAAGCCAACCCCGAACTCGGGCTAATGAACAGAGGCAAGACAGTGTCTGAAAGCAATTCAGAAGAATGAGTTCTAGTTCTGGTTTTGCCAAAATACTGATTATGTTACTTTATATCAAGTCACTTCCTTGAAACAGTCTCCTTATCTAATGTCACCTTTTTGACTTTGCTCAGATTTATTACACAGGTCCTTTCTTGTATTCCTATGTAATCCCCAACTATTTCATCAGCAGCTCACCGTGTGTTATCACAGGCTAAGCATACCCTCAGTTACTTGTGGGAGGAAGGGAAGGAGATGACTGAGATATATTTATGCTCATCATTTGAGAAAACAGGAGAGCAAAAAGACCCTTTTAGAAAAGGGAGAAAGCTATGCACACAGAGCTGCATCTCAAGGACTGGCTCTCACAGACTGCTCACCATCCAATGCCAAAGAGAGAGAGCAAGGGAGGGAGGGAAGAAAGAAAAGAGACAGATAAAGAGAAAAATAAAGGCCTTTCCCCCATAAACTCCAGTTACATGAAATGCAAACTCACCTGGATATGGCACTCTGCCTTTTGTTACCAGTTCTGTCTGTAGAATTCCAAATGACCATACATCAGACTTGATTGTAAATCGACCATACAATGCAGCCTCAGGAGCTGTCCACTTGATTGGAAATTTTGCACCTAAAACAGTATTGACAAGCTTGCTTCAGTAACTGGTTTCTTTCTGTGCACATATGGCAAAAGCAGGGCTCATTTTTTGTCAGTATCCCTACTGTACCTGTCATCAGTGTCAAATTCTTCAAAAGTACAAGATCTTCTTTAATACTATTTAAAATTTCCATTAGTAGAAAACACATTCCTTCCTGATAAGATATTCAATCACATAAAAAAGAGCATGGCTGGTGGGGACAGAAAACCATTCAAGAAGGAACAGAGGTAAAAACGCTAATAAGAAGCAACCAAAAACATGGATTATAGGATCTATAACTTTTAAGTCAGTCCAGCTGCCTGCGTGCTGTAGTCCATGGGGTCGCAGAGTTGGACATGACTGAGCGACTGAACTGAACTGAGCTCCTAGTAGTTACAACTGCTGGCTGCCAAGAGCATATTCTGTTGGTTCTAATGTCTACTGGTTTTCAACCATAATCTCCTTTTTATATTATGATCTCTCTCTAGAAAACTTTACTGTACTATCATTTTGAAAAGCCTGTATTAATTTACTCAAATATTTAGTGTCTTAGCACTTTTTATGCACATTATGCTAATTGTTATCAGAGACACAAAAACACAGCCTTTGTGATGTTTATATACTTATAGTGAAAATAAGATTATAGGTGTCTTAAATACTTAAAGTTACTTACTTATGTAGATATATAATGTTGTAAAATATAGTTCTTTAGATGTTCTGACAAACGGAAGATCAATTTTCATTAGCACAATCATAAAAGGTTTCATTTAAAAAGTGATAGCCAAGTTTAGCCTTAAAGAGTGGTTAGAATTTTCATAGGTAAAGACTGAAGAACAGGAAGATATTCTAGCTGGAGGGGACAGCACACAGGTATGGAGATGGAAAAGAAAGCACTGAGCTTCTAGTGCTTAATGTAATAAAACCTGGATGGTTCTGAGGTTACAAACGTTATTTTAAAATGTTTCTTATTTGTTGGCATGCCAAGGGAAGTGTGAAGAGGATTATGAATACTGCTTGCTGTATTCATAATGCAAACACCACCCACAGTCAGGTTCTTCTCTGGGGGAAAGAGCTATCAGAAAGCCACAGTATTATGCGCTATATATAATTTTATAAACAAAAATCAATGCTTCTATGACTCTTTTGAGCAGGTCTAGAGCTGTTTGCTTAATTCTGTACAACCCTGTATGTTCAAAAGAACGGTAGGAAAATCCATTCATTGAAAATGAGATTACCAGCATTTATTAAACAATCATTTTACCTTGTCTTGCCGTATATTCATTGTCTTCAATTAACCTTGCTAAGCCAAAATCTGCTATTTTGCACACAAGGTTTTCTCCTACAAGAATATTAGCAGCCCGAAGATCTCGATGAATATAGTTCATTCTTTCAATATAGGCCATACCGTCAGCAATCTTGGGAAGAAAAACAAACATATATGGTATGAAGGGAATGATGGAGAGGGCAATTCTGGTTAATGTTAAACCAGATCACTGAAGAAATATCTCTCGAAAAGAGATGACGGTAATGGGGCACAGTCTAGTAGATGATAGGAAAAACAGAAAACCTTTTAATGGAGCAGGGAGAGAAGGATGAGGAGGAAGAGAGGGGTCAGGAAAAGGAGAGGGGAGAAGGGGGGAAGGGGGAGAAAAAGAGATGGCACGTGGCCCACAAAGCCTGAAGCATTCAGCTGGCCCTTCACAGATGAGCAGTCTGCCCGCCTCTACCATAAATGGGCTCAGAGCCTGGAGCTCAGGTGCATGGACGAGGCTTGACATATGCTAAGGTGGCACAGGCGCGGTTTTCTTAGTATAAAGTTTGTCTGAATTGCCAGATCCTGTGGACATCTGGACACTCATTGTGAAGGAGTCTTAGATTCAATGTGTCAACCAAAGCCAATAAAAGACCCCTTGAATACCTACCATATATCTGAATAAAACTTAACAGTTCTCAATTATATTTAAAAACAAAAACTCAGAAAAGTAAAACTACCCCATCTTAAACTGTATACCCGCCATCTAAATTCTTGTTTGGGACTATATTAAAAAAGAAATTCAGCATATACTTTATTTTTCTTTATTTAAAGACCAATATGATTAATCACTTTAGGTATACTGGGCCTTCCCTGGTGGCTCAGAAGGTAATGAATCTGCCTGCAATGCAGAAGACCTGAGTTTGATCCTTGGGTTGGGAAGATCCCTTGGAGAAGGAAATGGCTACCCACTCCAGCATTCTTGCCTGCAAAACTCCATGGACAGAGGAGCCTAGAGGGCTACAGTCCATGGGGTCCCAAAGAGTTGGACATGACTGGGCAACTAATACTTTCACTTAGGTGTATGCCCTCCCCACCTTCTATCCGAGTAGGATCAGTGTGACTCTGTGTTGCTTAATATCTGCTGCTCCACTGCACCCCACTCCCAGCTTTGTTCAGGTCTCCTGCAGCATATACTTCAGATTTCTATTATTTTCTTTGGAAGAGCAATCATTCATTGTCTTAACATGTATCTGCTTCATTAGAAATACATACAGATTTGGTATTTGTGAATGCATATGTTTCTGAAAGGCCACATGATACAGAGCAGCATGATACTGGGATCACTGACTCTAATGCTCGTAAGCTGTATGAACCTTAGATGCCTGGGTCCTCAGACACTACAGTACCTGTAATATACAGAGATTAGACTGGATTATCTGTAATGTTCCTCTGAGCTCTAAAACTCCATGATTTCACTATATAAACAACAATATTCTGAGAAGCCTGGCGGGCTGTAGTCCATAGGGTCACAAAGGGTCGGAAAAGACTGAAGAGACTTATCGCGCGCAAGCACACACACACACAAGATTAGTTTACATTTTTAATGTGCACTTGCAGTTCAAATGGACACACGGGTGAACACACAAGTACCTGAGCAGCCATGTCAACCAGCTGTGGGAGCTTCAGATACTTTCCATCTCCCTCCTTCAGGAAATCTAATAAGCTCCCTGTAACAGACAGCAAGACATTCACGAACAATAAGCAAATCTAACAAGAGTAAAATGGGCTAATTAGGATATAAAGATGTAATACTGTCTGTTCTTTAAAAAAAAAAAAATCTTGACTGTGAAGGGAAGCAAGAGCCAGAGAGAAGTTGGTGAAAAGCGGATGCTGGGACAACGGGAGGGTTCTCTGTTTAAATGAAAGGATGAAGAACACAGTGTAAGAACTGTCCTTAAATAGAGGAAGTGACACCACTTCTTTAGATAATTGCTCACACAGTACAAAAGCTGCAGAGCCCAGAAACAGCAGCAATCGGGGATTGGAATGTGTCATTTAGACAACTGTTTTTCTTTGCTCTTTAACCAATTACAACAAATCCCCCCTCCCTTAAGTGTTCCTCTTATCCATTCATCGGAGCATTCTAAATGTACCAGTGGGCCTTTTAACTTTGTTTTGGTCATGGGTTATTTTGAGAATCTGACAAAAACTACTGACTCTTTGTCTAGAAAAATACACATAAGTATGAAAAAACTGATGGAGAACTTCAGAGGAAGTTTTCTGAACCCTCTGAAGTTCATTCATAGCAGAGAGCAGGTACTTGATAAGTAATTGGAGACCAGTTCAGAGCACTCCTTCAGTTTGCCCCATACACGTCTCTAGCCTTATTTCCAACCAGTTACCTTCTACACTTTCCACTACCCATGGCTTCACTCCCCATTTCCCAACAGCTCTGCAGAAATACCAGTAGCCCTTCTGTTTACCCATCCACATCCCTCATCATCTCAAAGGACGATACAAAACTTGTCTTTTCTGATTTTTCTAATTTTTATTCCAACCTAGATAATCTCTTCCTCAATTTCTATGTTACTCACTGAATGTGTCAAACACCTAGAAATTCATTATGCTTTGGCTTGAACTTATTTGTTCAGAGCAAGCTGTTATTTAGCTTTATAATAAAAATTAACTCATTGGGTTAGGTCTTCTTTCCAAATTCAATGTAAGTTAGTTAGACGGCTTTATTTCTTTGATACCTTATAATACTAGCAGACCGTTTATATATTAGAAGCATTTAATACATTTCAATTATTAATAATTTCTAGAGTATCCACTTCCCTGGTGGCTCAGATGGTAAAGCATCTGTCTGCAATGCAGGAGATCCGGGTTCAATCCCTGGATCTGGAAGATCTCCTGGAGAAGGAAATGGCAACCCACTCCAGTACTTTTGTCTGGGAAATCCCATGGACAGAGGAGCCTGGTAGGCTACAGTCCATGGGGTCGCAAAGAGTCGGATACGACTGAGCAACTTCAGTTCCAGTTTCAGTGTATCCTGACAATCAAGAAAACACAAGAGGCAACGAGTTCGGTTGGGTTACAGAGGGCCAAATTCTAAGTGTGTGAAGAGCAAAATGGGTAACTACCGAGTTTAAAAGTGGAAGGGTTGTCTAATCCTAATCTGGCAATCTGACAACACAGACCTCTATCACATTCCCCAACTGAATACTTCTTGAAATCAATACACAAGCTAAATGGCCTGTTAGCTTTATCTCCACAACACTCTTATGCGCTCAATATCCTGATTTAAACTTCCTCCTGGTCCCTGTCCTCCCTTCTCGTTCACCCTAATATACTCTGCCATAGGATACCTGGTAGTTTTTTTATCCAGAGATTCCTTGTTAAAAATGCCATGTGCTCCGATTCATGTTGAAGTTTGACAAAAAACAAAATTCTGTAAAGCAATTATCCTTCAATTAAAAAATAAATAAAATATTTTAAAACGCAAAAAAAAAAATGGCATGTGCTTTGGGAGCTTCAGGTAATGTTTTAGCCATCAATTAGTTCAGTTCAGTTGCTCAGTCATGTCTGACTCCTTGCAACACCATGGACTGCAGCAGGCCAGGCTTCCCTGTCCATCACCAACTCCCAGAGCTTACTCAAACTTATGTTTATCAAGTCGGTGATGCCATCCAACCATCTCATCCTCTGTCGTCCCCTTCTCTTCTTGCCTTCAATCTTTCCCAGCATCAGGGTCTTTTCAAATGAGCCAGTTCTTCACATCAGGGGGCCAAAATATTGGAGTTTCAGCTTCAGCATCAGTCCTGCCAATGAATATTCAGGACTGATATCCTTTAGGATGGACTGATTGGATCTCCTTGCTGTCCAAGGGACTCTCAAGAGTCTTCTCCAACATCACAGTTCAAAAACAGTTCTCGGGCGCTCAGCTTTCTTCATAGTCCAACTCTCACATCCATACATGATTACTGGAAAAACCAAAGCTTTGACTAGATGGACCTTTGTTGGTGAAGTAATGTCTCTGCTTTTTAATATACTATCTAGGCTGGTCATAGATGGACCTTTGTTGGTGAAGTAATGTCTCTGCTTTTTAATATACTATCTAGGCTGGTCATAGTTTTTCTTCCAAGGAGCAAGCATCTTTTAATTTCAAGGCTGCAGTCATCATCTGCAGTGATTTTGGAACCCCCCAAAATAAAGTCTGCCACTGTTTCCCCATCTATTTGCCATGAAGTGATGGGACCAGATGCCATGATCTTAGTTTTCTGAATGCTGAGTTTTAAGCCAGTTTTTTCACTCTCCTCTTTCACTTTCATCAAGAGGCTTTTTAGTTCTTCTTCACTTTCTACCATAAGGGTGGTGTCATCTGCATATCTGAGGTTATTGATATTTCTCCCGGCAATCTTGATTCCAGCTTGTGCTTCTTCCAGCCCAGTGTTTCTCATGATGTACTCTGCATATAAGTTAAATAAGCAGGGTGACAACATACAGCCTTGATGCACTCCTTTCCTGATTTGGAACCAGTCTGTTGTTCCATGTCCAGTTCTAACTGTTGCTTCTTGACTTGCATACAGATTTCTCAGGAGGCAGGTCAGGTGGTCTGGTATTCCCATCTCTTGAAGAATTTTCCAGTTTGTTGTGATCCACACAGTCAAAGGCTTTGGGGTAGTCAATAAAGCAGATGTTTTTCTGGAACTCTCACTTTTTTCGATGATCCAACAGATGTTGGCAATTTGATCTCTGGTTCCTGTGCCTTTTCTAAAACCAGTTTGAACATCTGGAAGTTCACAGTTCACATACTGTTGAAACCTCGCTTGGAGATTTTGAGCATTACTTTGCTAGCATGTGAGATGAGTGCAATTGTGAGGCAGTTTGAACATTCTTTGGCATTGCCTTTCTTTGGGACTGGAATGAAAACTGACCTTTTCTAGTCCTGAGGCCACTGCTGAGTTTTCCAAATTTGTTGACATACTGAGTGCAGCACTTTCACAGCATCATCTTTTAGGATTTGAAATAGCTCAACTGGAATTCCATCACCTCTAATAGCTTTGTTCGTAGTGATGCTTCCTAAGGCCCACTTGACTTTGCATTCCAGGATGTCTGGCTCTAGGTGAGTGATCACACCACTGTGATTATCTGGGTCATGAAGATCTTTTTTGTATAGTTCTTCTGTGTATTCTTGCCACCTCTTCTTAATATCTTCTGCTTCTGTTAGGTCCATACCATTTCTGTCCTTTATTGTGTCCCATCTTTGCATGAAATGTTCCCTTGGTATCTCTAATATTCTTGAAGAGATCTCTACAGTCTTTCCCATTCTATTATTTTCCTCTATTTCTCTGCACTGATCGCTGAGGAAGGCTTTCTTATCTCTCTGTGCTATTCTTTGGAACTCTCAAGAATGTCAGTTCTGGTTTTTCTGTTTCTCTTGGGGGAAGTCTCTTCCCATCCAAGTGCAGCCTGTAGTTGGTGCTGTCACCACTAGGTGGCGGTACCTCACTGACCAAGATGGGCATCTAGAAAGCGATGACGCCATCAGAGGCTTTCACTATGGATTAGTGACTCATTAATACTAAAGGGAGGAGATAAAAATTCAAGAGGGTAAAAAGCAGGCCTATCAGCAAGCATACTTGGTGACTTACCGGTCCTTCTTCCTATGCATCTTCCTATGCAAAGGGGAAAGAGGGAAGAGCGACAACCTTTCTTTCTCCTTTCCCTGCCCTCATCCACCCTGTTACTGAAGATCCCACACCTTGGGGTCTGGGGTTTGGAGAAAAAGACACCCTTCAGTTGACAGCGGTGGAAAAGAGAAGTTTCTAGGAGTCCTCAGAGTATATTAAAACTAGATAAAATTAATTTCCTTAACCTTACCTGATTTCTTCATTTAGTGCTGAAGACACAAGTATCTTTCTGATTGCATTGTTTTAAATCAACTAGAGCAAATACTTTTTTTCCTATTCTACTGCCTCTGGTCAAACGGAATGAAGGACTTTACTTTCAAAATAAATTCAGTGCCTTATTTTCCTTTTCAACTCTGTACTATCCTTCAGAATAACTGGGACTAATTACTAAATATTCTGTTAAAAACATGTCAGACTTTCTCTTTTCACATGTCTACATAAAAATCTCCAATTAGAAAACACAATAGAAATCTGTATGCATAAAGACAGAAATGACAAAATTTATTAACACAAATATCCCAGGAGATACTGATGTACACACACCTTTTGACATAAACTCAGTGACGATGTAAATTGGCTCTTCAGAAACAACAGCATATAGTGGGACAAGTTTATCATGTCTTAGTTTTTTCATTATCTGAGCCTCTTGAAGAAAAGCTTCTGGCATCATTGTACCTGGCTTCAGTGTTTTGATCGCTACTTTTGTGGTTCCATTCCACGTTCCTAGAGAAACAACCCACATTTCACTATTTTAACCTATATTTTAAGAGATTTACAACAAACTTCAACGAGCAGCAGTAAGCTTACATATTTCAACATATCATAAATTATGGCCTTTTAATCTATGGCCAAACAATGAAAGAAAACAAAAGTTCGGGCTCCTTACCCATCCATACTTCACCAAAACATCCTTGTCCTAGTTTAACCTCTAGTCGCAAAGATTCTCGTGGGATTTCCCAAGCATCTTTTGCTAGACCTTGAGTCTGGGGTTTCACAGTTGGACACACAGTTGTTAACTTATGGCATAAACCATCGGCATGTTCTAGATAAATGAATAAACTACACTGTAAATGAATAATTTACAAAAACTGAGGTATATATAGTTGTACCAGTGTTTTTGAAAGTTTAAATCATAGGATATAAAAACATGACATTTTATTACAAAAGCACAAACATAAAAATGGAATTGCATAAAAGAAACAAAACATACAAGTGAAACATTTCATTAAATACATCTTAAAGTTATTATTTATTGAATACTTATGTCCCAGCCATTGTCCCAATTTAGTACTTCGCAAATTCGTATAAATAAAGGAACCTTAGAAAACGTAAGCAACTTTCTCAAGGCCACCTAGTAAATACGTGATGGAGATGGGTTTTAAACCCTAGATCTGACTGCCTCCAAAGTTCTGCTTTTGATCACTGTGTTTTATTTCTTCCCCAAAGAGAATGCTACCATTAACAGCTATTTCTAGAATCCACAAGAGTAAGAAGCACAATAAAATCAAGGAAAAACTTCTTTAAAAGACTGATTTTCAAATAAAGGGTGATACAAAAACAGGAAACCCTAAATTTACAATGGTTTGACTTGTGAATCCTGTTTATACACATTCCGTTCCACTCTCAACAAGTAACCACACACATCCACATTCTAACAAGTGCAATTGCAACTGATGCTAGTGCTTGGTAATGTGCTGAGTCAGTGTCAAGACTGATGACTGACTTGATAAGACTCAATTTGCAGCTAGCTGTCACTGAAGAAATTGTCATGGAAACTTCCCCTCTCCTAGTATTAATCATTTAAAGACTTGTGGATGCATTTATATATATATCAAATTGGAGATTAAAACATTTTGAGACAGAAGACTCTAATACTGACTACTGTTCAAAGATCAGTGAAGGACTGAGAAATGTCTACACTTGCTACAGGCTAATTTTCCATGAAAATAAAATGCACCTTCAGATCACATTTCATTAGAATCACACTTCACCAAGTCTTATGTGGTCCAGCCTATGCTGAGGAAGGCAACCTAACAGGACACATGATAACAGCTTTTCACTAATGTGTTTAGTTTTACCTACTTAGGAAGTATCCCCAAATAAAATTTTGCTTTTTCGTTTATTGTCACATCTATTTGGCACATCATACAGCAGCCCAACTCAGGCAGTAAGTATTTCTGTTCTTCATTTTAAAACTAAAATACACTGGGCACATTCTGTGTCAGAAGTAGCATGTTAAACCTTAAGAGGCGTGAAGACATGGATCTGTCCTCATAAAATGAAACACAAGGGGGTTGGGGGTGGGGGGGGGTAAAAAAAAAAAAAAAGAAACACAAGGAAGTAACTTTTACCTGTGAAGTATGCACGTACCTGTGTAATGTTTTACCAGTTTCTGCAGAGTATCAAACTGTGCTCTGGTTGTGATGTAGTATCCACCGTTGTCAAGTTTCCTAATTTTGTAGTGCTTCACATTGTCGCCCCTCACCTCATCCCAGTCCCGAATAGAGAGGGAGTAAGCACCTAGAGGGGAAATGGACACTCTTACTGTATCCTCCTTGAAATACTGCCTGAGGAAAACTTTATACTTGTATTAACAGTATTCATACCTTTAGTAGTTTCACTCTCTCTTACTAAGAAAATACCTCGCTGATTCCCAGGATTCAGAAGTAATCTTTCAGCATCTTTTCTCCCCATTTTGCCAAAATACCATCTGGGGGAAAGAAAGAGTAGTGTTCTGAGTTAGAAGAGTGTAGGCATCAGAAAAATTAAGCACAGATATTAGTAAGAATGGAGTGGGGTAGGGAGGATGACAAAGAATAAAACACAGCTTTAAAATAGAACAAAATGGAAGGTCTTTTTAGCAAGAATATTACAAGTATTACTGTCAGAATATATTCTGTCATAGTTTTTTCATGTACTAACTACTCAAAAGGTCTTTTAAACTCCATGTGGCAGTCAGAGGAACAGTAAATACAGAAGGAAAGGCAAGAGTGACAGACTGCCTTTTAGACAGTGACAGATGGAAATATTAACACTGCAGTAGGAAGAGTGAAAGGGCTTCCCTGGTGTCTCAGATGGTACAGAATCTGACTGCCAATGCAGGAGACCCAGTTTGATCCCTGAAGATTTGATCCGATCCCCTGGATTTGATCCCTGGGTTGGGAAAATTCTGTGGAGAAGGGACTGGCAACCCACTCCAGTATTCTTTCCTGGAGAATCCCACGGACAAAGACTGGTGGGCTAGGTGCTGAGAAAAGTTGGACACGACTGAGCAACTAACACACATACAGAAAGAGTAAAAGTGGTTCTCTGGCAGCAGTGATCATTTGTATTCAATTTTGTTATTCACTCACTCAGTCGTGTCCAGACCTTTGCGACCCCATGGACTGCAGCATGCCAGGCTTCCCTGTCCTTCACTACCTCCCAGAGCTTGCTCAAATTCATGTCCATTGAGTCTGTGATGCCATCCAACCACCTCATCCTCTTTCGTTTCCTTCTCCTCCTGACTTCAACCTTTCCCAGTATCAGGGCCTTTTCTAATGAGTCGGCTCTTCACATCAGGTGGCCAAAGTATTGGAGCTTCAGCATCAGTCCTTCCAATGAATATTCAGGGTTGATATTCTCTAGGATTGACTGGTTTGATCTCCTTGCAGTCCAAGGGACTCTCAAGGGCTTCTCCAACACTGCAGCTCAAAAGCATCAATCCTTCAGCACTCAGCCTTCTTTACGGTCCTACTCTCACATCCACACTTGACCACTGGAAAAACCATAGCTTTGACTAAATGAACCTTTGTCGGCAAAGTAATGTCTCTGCTTTTTAACATGCTGTTTAGGTTGGTCATAGCTTTTTTTAAAAGGAGAAAGTGTCTTTTAATTTCATGGCTGCAATCACCATCTGCAGTGATTTTGCCATCCAAGAAAGTCAAGGTTTCCATTGTTTCCCCATCTATTTGCCATGAAGTGATGGGACTGGATGCCATGATCTTAGTTTTTTGAATGCTGAATTTTAAGGCAGCTTTTTCGCTCTCCTCTTTCACTTTCATCAAGAGGCTCTTTAGTTCTTCACTTTCTGCCATAAGGGTGGTGTCATCTGCATTCCTGAGGTTACTGATATTTCTCCTGGCAATCTTGATTCCAGCTTGTACTCAGTAAGATGCAAGTGAATCATACCCAAATTACTAGGGATCCTAGTGTGGGTTTGATTTTGTGAATAAAAATGCAATTTTTGCTGTGGAGGAGCCATAGAATAGTGGAGAAGACAAAAGGACAAAATCGAAAGTAACAAGTGTCAAAGTATAACAGAGAGCTATGGAGCCACATCACACATCACAAATATAAGCAAACAAACAGCCACAGAGCACCTACTATGTGTGGGTGCTGTGTTAGCGGCTGTGATATGCAGTATCGTCTACGACCCCTGGCAAACCTGCTTTGACATAAAGGTACAGGCATGTCTCATCTTACTGTGTTTTGCTCTACTGCGCTCTGCAGATGCTGTCTTTTTAAAAGCTGAAAGTTTGTGGCAACCCTGCTTTGAGCAACTCTATCAAAGTCATTTCTCCAAAAGCATCTGCTAACTTTCTATCACTGTCACATTTTGCTGTCTTGCAATATTCCAAACATTTTTTTCCACATAAGACAGCAAATTTAATTGACAAATGTTGCGTGTGATCCGACTGCTCTATCAACTCTCCATCTCCTCTCTGCATGCCCCCAACTCTCTGAGACACGCAATCCTGAAATCAGGCTTACAATGGTCTCGAAGTGTTCCTTTCTCTGATTGAAAGAACAGTCAATCAATGCAGCAAATTTCACTGTTCTTTTAAGAAACTGCCACAGCCACCCCAACCTTCAGCAACTATCACCCAGACCCGTCAGCAGCCATGAACACGGAGGCAGGACCCTCCACGAGCAAAGCGATTACGGTTTGCTGAAAGCTTAGACGATGGTGAGCATATTTCAGCAATAAAGTATTTTTAAAGAAGGTATGTACTATTTTCTTTAGACAGAAGCTATTGAACACTTAACAGACTACAGTATAGTGTAACTATAACTTTTACATGCACTGGGAAACCAACTCACTTCACTGTAATGTTTACTTTATTGTGGTTGTCTAGAACCAAATCCACAATATTTCCAAATGTGCCTATAATGTCACTGAAGGTGAACTTTAAAAGTTACAAGTTTTAAAAGTTGCAAGAATGGTATGCCGAACTCCCATTTACCCCCGACCCAGGTTTCCTGTTAACGCTGCTTTGTCATATTCTCCTTCCCTGTGTACGTGTGTTTGTGTGGCTGTGTGTCTTCTGAACCGAATGACGGCTGCACACATGCCGCATCACTGCCCGAGCACCCCAGTGGGTGTCTCCTGGGGGGACAGAGACTCTCCCGCACTGCCGCGGAGGGGGCGCCGAAGTCCAGGAGTGAGCTCTATGACACAGTGACGACGACTGCGGGTAAATTTCTGAAGTGAGAGTCTGCGGAACAGGAAAAGGGCTGATGCGATGTTTTTAAAGTGGGGGAAGAAAAAAGACTAGCGACTAGGCGTAATGCAGTATTATAAATGCAGCTTCATTTATGATCCTACTGTAAGCAAATACTATGGCATTAATTATTAATTCTCAAGTAACATCTCCTATTAATATGATACATTAGCTGTATTAAGACTGGCATGTAATTGTGTGTGTGTAAAGTTGTGGCTAAGCAGAATGTACATTAAGACATTTTAAAAATCAAAATAATTAATAAAATATGAAGTGGAGCCATACTCTTCAGCCTGAATGGAATCTGCCGGGGCTACGTAATTGCTTGGGATATAGCCGTTCTTTCCTGTAGCGATTGATCTCGCCTCCCACCAGTCTCCTTCCCTGCAACACACAGAACAACAGTCACCGCAAGGCAGACCGCAGCCCAGGACACAGTCTACTGCAGTGCCATCCTGTATCTGAAATGGACAAGAGAGGTTACTTCCAGTTTTAATTTATGCATTTGTTTGACCAAGAATTAAACTCAAAGAATAGTATTAAAAAAATAGATTACATGAATTAAGGAAATAAGGCTAAGCAAAATTACAAATGCGTATTTTTGCTCTGAATCAAAAAAACAAAAACCCTGAAAAACAAACCCCTTTGCCCTAAAAAAACCAAAACCCACTTTTACTTGTGAGATCTCTTTTTTTACATAACTCTTTCAACCTAAGACAATAAACTATACTGAATAAAATCATTTGGGAAGTCAATCTTTCAGATTACTCAGTTTCATGTAAATGTTTTCTCCTTTAAAAGCTTTACTGAGATACAATTTGTATACCATGAGAACCCCCCTTTTAAGATTTTTTGAGTTTTGCAACCATCACCACTGTCAATTTCAGAACATTTTCATCGCCCACCAAAAGAAACTGTGTACCCATTAAGAGCCACACCCCATCCCAACCCTTCCCCATCATTTCCAACCACTAATGTGCTTTCTGTTTCTATGGACATGCCCATTGTGGGGCCATTCCATGTAAATGGAACCATACAATATGTGCTCTTTTTGACTGGCTTTGTTTACAAAGCATAATTTCTTCAGCATTTATGAGGTTTTTTTTTTAAATTGCTAAATGATCTTCTTTTTAACAGTGCAAAAAAGTAATGTTCCTTTTTAGTCATATTAAGGGGGAAAAAAGTTCAGATACCCTAGAACTCTTGTAGCTAAAATATTTAGCAATGAGTGATAATAAAAACTTAATTCCTGGAACAGTACATATTTACAAGAATGTTATCCATGAACATCCAAATAAAACTAAAATTAATTCAGGACATGAGAAGTACATGTAATTTTTAACATGTAAGCCCTGAACTTTCCCCGAATTAATGGAAAGGAGTGTATAGTATCAGTCGACAATGAGGAAGACACATGGGTTCTGCTGCTGCTGCTAAGTCACTTCAGTCATATCCGACTCTGTTGCCATAGACGGCAACCCACCAGGCTCCCCCATCCCTGGGATTCTCCAGGCAAGAACACTGGAGTGGGTTGCCATCTCCTTCTCCAATGCGTGAAAGTGAAGTCGCTCAGTCCTGTCCGACTCTTAGCGACCCCATGGACTGCAGCCTACCAGGCTCCTCCATCCATGGGATTCTCCAGGCAAAAGTACTGGAGTGGGGTGCCATTGCCTTCTCCAATGGATTCTGCTACTAAAGATTAAATGCATGTTTGGCTTCACCACAGGATAAGTACTGAAAACACTGTCTACACTGAAATTTTATAAATGCCTGAGGTGAATTTGCTCTCTAAAAAATGAAATGGAAAATCCTCTGGATTTTCAAATGTTTACAAACTCAAGCATTTGCCTTGTAGCTTCCTGGTATTTATTAAGTACATTCAGACACACAAACTGAAAACTCTGACCCTGATAACTGTTCAGTGATTCATTCAGACTTTCACTGACTATCTTTTTAAATGACAGACCTTATAATAGGTTGTGCCAGCAACAGGGGGAAAGTCCTTAACTTCAGGTAACTGTGGAGGGCAGGGCTTCTCAACCTCAGCATCACTGACGCTCTGGGCTGGCTAACTCTTTGTTGTGTGGGACTGTCCTGTTCACTGTCAGATGCTGAGTAACAGCCCTCGCCTCCATCTACCAGACGACACTATCTGCCAGATGCCAGCTGCAGCACCCTGGCTCTAACAACCAAACACGCCTCCAGGCAGTACCGAACGGCCTCTGGGCGACTCGGCCTCTGGCTGAGAACCACAGGTCTAAAAGAATGATAGGCAAGTGACAAGACTACAAATCAAAACTGTGGTGGCAGCTATAACTGAGGTTAGCACAGGCTACTACGTGAACATTTAAGAGAGACACCCAATCCAGCAGGACGTGGGGACTGGGCCAGGCAGGGAAGGCAGAAAGAAAATCAAGGAAGGTTTCCTTGAGAAAGGACACAGGAAAAAATACATTTTGAATGATAGATAGGGTTGGCTAGACAAAGGAAGAAAAATGGAGAGACAAGAAGTCACCTTTCAGAAAGAAGAAATCACATGTGTACAGGCACCGAGAAGGGGAGAACCCAGGTGGATCCAGAGCCACAAGTAACGGAGTCTGGCAGGGCAGTGGAGAGGGGAAGGGGAAGAAGCTGGATGAACGATACCTGCTCTTATTGCTGTTTCATCTTCACAGCAGTGAGCAGTTACTGAAGGACTTTAAAGAAGACAGACAGGATTGTATTTCATGTTCTCAAACAATAACTGGTAGCAAGTGGGAATTGGTTGGAAGGAAACATGCCTGGATGCAAAGAGACCATAAATATCTATTTTGAGATGTTACAAAGTGGCCTGCTGTGCCTGCTAATGAAATTATGGGATCTGTTTTTCATAACAAGCATTGAATTTTCTAAGGTGGATCACTAAATGACAGAAAGTCTGAGAGTCACAAAAGGCAAGAGACAGTTTGGGAATGCAGGGGCTCCTCAGCCCTTTTCTTGTTTTTGAGAAAGAGGTAAGATCTTTAAACCACCTGGTACTTAGATAAATGGGATCATAGAAATCTCTTTATACAGGTTTTTTTTTTTTTAAGTAATGTACTTACTTTCATATATTCCCTCAATCCTCATCCTTAAACTCTGTTTATGGCAGAACCACAGCAACACAATTTGTAGAAGTTGTAACTTTTGGCTTGAGCAGTAGTCTTCTGCAATGTGTCTAAAAGAACCAATGTATCATCCAACCCAGTGGGCAGAGACCCATGCCCCACCACTCTTGTCTCTGAATCATCAACTAGCTCAGTGGTTTCAGCGTAAAGTAGGCTGGCACCGTATTTCTCCCTTGTAAAAAACTCATAACACTTACGTATTGTTAATTATTTGAAATCTTTCACCCTTCTTAAATGAAAGGTCTTCTGTAGTTCTAGCTTCATAATCATATAAGGCCACAAATATAGTAACACCACCTATTGGGGAAAGAAGACCAAGGTAAATTATACAGACAAATTAACAACAGAGAAATTCATTAGTAAAAACATTGCCAATGACGACAAAGAAAGCTTAAGCATAGTTCTCTGCCTAGTCTCCAGAATCAATTTTTAAAAGTTGGAGATTTGGGCCACTGAAGTTTTCAAGTTAATAAGACAATGTCTTAAGGTCTTCCGTGAGACTACTATACTGTACAAATTCTAAAATTCTATAGAGCCACAGAAACCTTTTTAATCTTCACTCATACTTGTAACACCTCTAGCTTGAGAAGTGATGTGATGATCGGTGATTGATAGTCACTAAGTTGACTCTTGCAACCCCATGAACTGTAGCCCACCTGCCAGGCTCCTCTGTCCAGGGGTTTCCCAGGCAAGAACACTGGAGGGGGTTGCCATTTCCTTCTCAAGGGGATCTTCCCCACCCAGGGACTGAACTCGAGGTTCCTGCATCGCAGGCAGATATTGACTGCTGAGCCACCAGCAAGCCCAAGCTCAAATCAATTTTGTTTGGCAGAAAAAGTGTTAACAAGTATTATAAACTACTGGCATAGATCATCTCGATTTCTTAAAAACAACAGGTGAACAATCCCATCCTTAAGACTAGGATGCATACTTACCGTGTAGCACATCGTTTACTGTAAAGCACAAGGAACTCAGTATCCTGACGATGTGGGAAGAGAATGTAAAGACTGTGTGTGTGACGGATTCACTTTAGTGTAGAGCAGAAACTAACACTACCTTGTAAATCAACGATACTCCAATAAAAATTAAAAGACTAACGATTAACAGTAATAACTAGGTTTTAAATGAAGATTATTTTATTTTATGCAGAGATAAAAAACAGCATGTTTTCCTTAGAAAATAAATGGTATGCCTGATAAGGATTATAAATTCCAAAAATAATCATGTCATATGAATCACTGTATGTCATGCTTAAGAGATTAGCAATTTAAATAATAAAATTATTATCTGCAAGGGGAAGAATAGAATCTCATTTATCTGGCTTTGTTCCTGAGGCCCAGCCATGTATTAATTATCTATTTGACATCTCAATGTCTATCAAGCATTTACAACTTATTAGGTACAAAATAAAGGTGTTGATTTTTCTCCTCTAACCTGTATTGCTGAAGTCTTCACTATCTCAGCAAACAGTACCAGCCAATCAGGTACTCAAAGCCAAGTCCATTAACAGCACTGCCAGTTCTAGCCCTTAAGTACCTTACCCACGTCCTTGTCCATTTCAGCGCTTCCATCCTAATCCAAGGATGTTATTTATGTTATTTCTCACTGGGAGTGTAGTAGCCCAACTCACTCTCTATCTGCTTCCCTATATCCATTCTCCACACAGCTGGCCAGAGGGAGTGTGGGGAATTCAGAGTTAAGGGGAATTCAACAGTGCAAATCCTTTACTGAAATCTCTTCAATAGCTTCCTTCTGATTTTGAATAGAACCCAGACTCCAGACTATGGTCTGTGTGTCTGAGTCTCTTAGTCGAGTCCAGCTCCTTGGGACCCCATGGACTGTAGCCCATCCAGCCCCTCTGTCCATGGAATCTCCAGGCAAGAACACTGGAGTGGGCAGCCATTCCCTTCTCCAGGGCATCTTCCTGACTCAGGGATCAAACCCGAGTCTCCTGCACTGCAGGCAGATCTATGAGGTCCTGAGAAATCCTGACTCTTCAAACCCTTATCATGTAATTCTACCCTCTGCCCATACTAGTCCTCATGCCTTCCAAGGCCACCTGCATTTGTTGTTCTTTCTCCCCAGATAGCTCTTTTCCTAGCTCTGCATACATTTAGGTCATTTTCATCAACCAGACCTCAGCTCAAATAATTTCATCTCAAGATGGTTTTTCCTTGATCATTTAAAAAGCCTTCACCAATCATTCTGGTTAGCTCCTTCACAGTATTTATGAACTGTTAATCATCCTGTTTAGTTGTTTTTATAATTATTACCCAACCCTCCTTATAATGTAAACTCCATTAGGGCAGAAACCTTGCTTCTCTTGCTTACAACTCTCTATACTATACTCAACACACAAATACTCATTAGTAAATGAATATCCATGAATGGACTATTTCACATAAACACACTGCTTTAGGTAACATTTAATCATTTTGGATTACTATCTTTCCAGAACATGTAATACTGAAAATAAACTTATTCTGGTGATGGAGAAATACCATCATGACCATCTATTACTGTGTTATTTTACTGTTAAGTGTTTAGAGTTAAGGGGCTGAAGCTGGGACTCTAACTGGCTCTCTGATGTCCACAACTTCTCAACTGAACAGTCTATAGATAAGTGTCTGATATTCTCCAGTCACTATTTTTGTCCTGGAGGTGAGCAGAAGTGAGGGACACATTTATAGTCCAAGCTTGTAGAAGAAATCCTTTTCTCCCCACAAGTTGCTCGGTTTGATGCTGGCAGCTGTTTCCCCAAGTCTAAGGATAAAAACATACTCAAGGGCTGCAAGAGGGAGAGACCAAAGAAACTCTAGTCCTTGATGACATGAAAAAACTACTGGTTCAAGGAGTCCTAGAACCTCCCCTACCTTTAAAAGTCAGCTGCACTTTTGTTTCTCAAGGGAAAAGCAACCTGGGAAGAGCTACTTCTCTTTTTAAAGTTTCTGACTACCTTTTTTCAGAGCATTTCTGGCTCCATGAAAGGCTGTCGGCCATCACTTCTGATTGTTCTCTGAAAAGACATTGTAGTTTAATAAACGAAGTTTTAGAATAGGGCATTAAATCTGTGCCCTCCTGCTTATCATCTGTGACTGGAAAAAAAAAAATCACAACCTGTGAGCCTCAGGATTTTTCTTTTTTCAATCAGCAGTACCTAACAGAACTGTACTATCATCACAAAATTGCCTTTACCTAACACATCAAATAACTACTATAATACTTTAATAATGGCCAGCACTTTATAATCCTCAGAAGTTGGTAGCATTCTAGAGGGAGGGGGATACATTTTTATTCTTTATATTCCCAATGCCTGCCACACAGTCAGCACCCAGTAATTATTTGAAAAATCAATTAGTGAAGTAATTAATGATAACAGTGTGTGTGCCACTCAGTCATGTCCGACTCTGAGATCTCATGGACTGTAGCCTGCCAGGCTCCTCTGTCCATAGAATTCTCCAGGCAAGAATACTGGAGTGGGCTGCCATTCCCTTCTCCAAGGGATCTTCCTGGGTCTCCCGCATTGCAGGTAGATTCATTACCCACTGAGCCACCAGGGAAGCCCAATAAATGGTATAAACCAGTACATAATCACCATCAGATTACTGCCAAATTCCTGAGAATAATATCCATGTGGAGTTTACTTTGTATGTTGGAGATTTTTAGTTTTCACATAAACTTACTTTACACACCCTACCCCTACCCCCTCGTAACTTATTTCTCTTATAGCAGACCAACTTGATGTATGTATTGCCCAAGGTCACATTCTCAAACAGACTGTCCTCTAAAGCTCACCCGTTAAACCAGCAGGATATGAACTTGGCACCACTGAAAACGAGGAAGATGCTCCTCCAAAAGGTGTCACCGCCGAGGACCCTCCGAATGGTGTCATGGAGATGTTGCTGAAATTGACAGATGTGCTCTTTGTGGAGGATGTTTGTGCCACCGCGGTGTGTTCTGCTCCATAATGGCTGACTCCTGTACTGACCGGCTCTGGCGTGTTTTCTGGTCTGTATTTAATGGATGGACTTTTGTTCTCTTTACTTTTAATGCAGCCCATTATCAAGCCTACAAAGGTGATAAGGCAAAGTGTGAGAAGCAGTTAACATAAAGGATACTTCAAAAGAGGCATACTTTTAACAGTTCCTTTAAAACAGGCGTTTCTCTCCTGCAAGAAAGTAACAACAACAAATAAACCAAAAAAATCCTAGGCAGCTAAAAACAGTCTTTCCTCCTCATTTATTTTTATTATAGTTCTGTTAACATATCATTCTAATCATGTCATTCTCCAGCTCAATCACCTTTAATGGCTCAACGACAACATGCCACAGTGTACTGGGAAAACCGTGGGCTCTGAAATCAGAAGGCAAAGTCTGAATCCTGGCTTCCTACTTTCTAGTGGAGTGATTTCAGGTATGTTGCTTAACTTCGCTGCAACCTCAGTTCCTTGAAAAATGAAAACAACTATACCACCTACTTCATAAGATTTTCCATGAGAAGTAAGTGTATTTATCACAACTTCTAGACAATCTCGGGTACACAGCAGGTACTAGCAAATTCTGGCAGTTTTCCTTCTACCTATACCAGCGCTATGTAACAGAAACAGAATCTGAGCTGTATCTATAATTTTAGATTTTCCAGTAAACACATTTAAAAAATAAAAAAGGTCAAATTAATTTTAGTAATATATATTTCAACATGTCATCAGTATGAAAAATGTTAATGAGATTTTTATACTCTTCTTTTGTACTAAATCGTAGAAATCTGGCATGTATTTTAAACTCACAGTACACCTCAATTTGGACCAAGCACATCGCAAGTGCTCAACGGCTGTATGTGGCTAGTGGCTACTCCACTGGACAATGCAGTGTTATGTCTTTTCCCTATTGATGGACACACCCCCAATGCTTGCCAAATCTGACTCCAGTCTCTCTTTCCCACTTTACCTCCTATCATTTCCTCACTTATCTTACGCATAAAAGAGAAGCAGTCTCAGACCTCAGAGTTGGAATGTCTTTAGATCACTATCTTAAAACCGGTATATTCAGAAGACGTGACAGTACGGCACAGTGTAGCTTAAGTATCTACTGAAAACACTCTGAGAGAATGACAAGCTAAATATACGAAAGGCAGCTGCTTCTGGAAGTGTTAGAAGGAATTTAAGGTAAGTTGGTTCGTAATGCGGTAGTTGGAAAAGAAAAGCCTTTAAAGCATAATGTGAAAGTTTCTAGAAACCCTGAAGGAAAAGACGAAGAGATATATGATTAACTTGGGGATGGGGGTGGATGGGGGGCAGGTATGGGCGCAGAAACTTTTAAGTGAAACTAAAGACATAAGAAGTAGGGAAAATGTCCCTGTACTTGCTCATGCTCTTACTTGCTCTCTCAACACAGGAATGTACCATATAAACATTAGTTGAGGTTCTTAATATAGACAAGGGTAAAGAATCCGCCTGCAGTGCAGGAGACCCGGGTTCAATCCCTGGGTTGGGAAAATCTCCTGCAGAAGGGAACGGCTACCCACTCCAGTATTCTGGACTGGAGAATTCCATGGACTATACATACAGTCAGTCCAGGGGTTGCAAAGAATCGGACACGACTGAGCGACTTTCACACATTCACACAATACAGACAACTCTTACACATGAGAAAATATACATATCCCCTTAGAAAAATCTGAATGCCTATCAAGAGGCAATTCACAAATGAAACATGAAAGGCCAATTAGCATATGAAGACATGTCCAATCACCCCAGTCTTCAAATAAATGCAAATCTCTAAAGGTATCCTTTTTGCCTCTCAGATTGGCAAATTTTGACTCAATACTCAAGGCTGAGGCATGAATTTTAATCAACAATCAATATATACCCACAAAATACATTAAGCTGCAAAAAATATTTTAAAATCTGTACAGAGGATTTTCAATATTACCAATATCTTAAGTCTAAATATTAAGAAAATATTTTAATAATGACATAGACTTTGAAAAAACAGCAGTTGTATGATGGAGAAAAAATTATGAAAGCCAGAATGGCTGCTAACTTACTTTAAATTGGATAACAAACCAATTGAAATACATCATCTCATAACTGAAGTTACTGCACCCCTCACCCACCCTCATTTCCATTTCCAGCTTTCTTAGTTCCTCATTTTCACCTTTTTCTTCACTCAGGATTCCTGTTAAGGTCTTTTTCTCCCCGCAAGACATCACTCCTAACTTAACTCTTCCTCCAAAACCCCATCACTCCTAACTTAACTCTTTCTCCATAAGTTCTATCCTTTTCCCCCTCACCCTTCCAGTTTTCCATTACTTCTCTTAACCTGTCCTATAGTTTCTTTTTCTTAATCCAGAATCTTTGGTCCAACTAGTCACAAATATACAGGAGCCATCACTGCTGCCTACCTCTTTTAGTAACATAATTAAAAATGTGGAATGTGACTTTAAAATGTAAGTAATCTTCAGGTGTAAATGCATTTAAAAGATTTTAATGGATTCTCTTAGAAACATGATTTAAAATACTTATAAGTGAAAGCCTCTTTCAGGTTCCAAGCTACTAGCTTACAGATATATTATTTATTAACAACATATTTATTAGACACTATAAAGGGAGCCAAAGATGGCAAGAAATGGTTCTTTTTCTTTAAAAAGGTTGCAAGTAAGTGTAAGAAAAATCACAGTATTGTACAGTGTGAAAATCCTGGAGGGCATGGCAACCCACTCCAGTATTCTTGCCTGGAGAAGCCCATGGACAGAGGAGCCTGGAAGGCTATAGTCCATAGGGTTGCAAAGAGTCAGACACGACTGAAGTGAATTAGCACGCATGTATGCATGCACAATCTGAAAACTGCCAGAGTGAAAACAAAAAATGCCAGAGCAGAGGTATATACGAACATGTCTGGAATACCACTGAACTTATCAGCTCTGCTTTGAGAGCTTGGGAAAGATAATTCTGCAGACAGTGGCATGAGCTAGGTTTTGAAGGGCTGGAGATTTAGGAAAGAATATTCTAGAAAGAATGAAGTGTGAAGAATGGCTCCAACTTATGGAAAAGCAAGGTGTATCAGGGAACAGAAAACTCTATGGTAGAAATATAAGGGGGTGTTTTTGAGAATGGTGGGACAGGCAGCTAGTTAGAGGCGGGTTATTTGCTAAGCAGTAACTTTTAGATTTATCCAAGAACACTGGAAAGTTGAGATCCTTAAAAAGGTGAAGAGCAGAAAATATGTGTTTGAAAATAACTATGGTGGAAGTACAAGTTATAGACTGGGAAGAAATAATGAAGGCAGTTAGTCAAGTCATAAAACTATTGCAATGATCCATGTGAGGAAGTTCAAAAGCAGGAATACTGTGGGGCCAAAGGTGAGGAGGAGATGAGAGGTAAACACTAAATACAATAATCAAGTTTAGATGAGTGGCTGGTTATGGGTGGATGCGAAGAAAATGGAGTCATTTATGCACTCCCTAAAATTTATCGGACACTTTAAAAGTAGTGACTATTTGTGTGCTAGAGGGCTGGATGACTCCAAAGTTTCTAGTTTGAACTGAACGGAAAACACCACCATAACGGAGGTAGAGAAAAGAGAAGCAGGTTTTTCTGGACCAACATGTTCAGTTTCAGAAGTTAGTTTTAGGGGGCTGCTGGGAATGATGTTGCAAAATCGAGTGGGGGATTGATAATAAAATCTAAAACTCACAATGAGGCAGAAACCAGAGAAAAAGTAAATGAAAATATTTTCACAGTGTTATCACACCTTTTGGAGAGAATAAAACTCACCCAAGGTACAGATATGGGGGGGGCGGGTGTGAAAAATTAATACAGTGTTGCAGGACACCTACAGATAAGGGATAGGCAGGCAAGGAAATTAGGAAGCAGCAATTAAGAGTCAGGAGTGCTTCATAAATATCAAAACAAAACCAGAAAGGATTATCATTGATTTCAAGATGGGGCAGAGTTTCAACTGTCTCTGTAACACTCTTCTTTTTTCCTTAAAAGAAATATGGTAATGAGCTAAGTGTGGGTAACATATAATTCTTTTTGCTAGTTTGAAGTATTTAACACATTTTTTAACTTAGAATAGTAAAGTGGGAACAGTGAGGTAAGATTTTCAAGAAGAAAATGGCTAATAATGGTAAAGACCAACATGAAATCAAGTGGCATTTAAATTGATTTTAAAAGGCCAGCTGATTAATAATCAGGAGCTCACTGATGACTTTCATAAGAGCATTTCTTAGCACCATGAAAAGAATAGATTGCAGTAAAGTGAATAACAAATTTAATAACTAGCCCACAAAAATATGGTAAATTCTGGAATGCAACATCTTCGTAAGTTGGGAATGTACACTTTTAAAAAATTTTAATTGACTGATGATTGCTTTACAATATTGATTTCCGTCATACATGGACATAAATTAACTATAGGTTAAGTATATGTATGTGTGTTAATTATATGAATTGTATGTATACGTATGTATATTTAACTATAGGTTAAACATATGTATGTATGTCCCCTCCCTCTTGAATTTCCTTCCTAACTCCCACCCCCTCTAGATTATTACAGAGCCCCAGTATGAGTTGCCTGAGTCACACGGCAAATTTCCACAGGCTATCTATTTACACGTGTTAGTGTATAGCTTCCCTGCTACTCTCTCCATCCATCTCACCCCCTCCCGCCTCTCCCCCACCCTCGTCCATAAGTCTGTTCTCTGTGTCTGCATCTCCACTGCTGCTCTGTGAAAAGGTTCATCAGTACCATCTTTCTAGAGTCCACATATATGCGTTAATATATGATATTTGTTTTTCTCTTTCTGACTTCACTCTGTGTAAGAGGCCCTAGGTTCATCCACTTCTTTAGAACTGACTCAGATAAGAGAACATACACTTTTTATCAAAATGTTTTCTATGCTTCCTTTGTCTAGTTCACAGATCCTGTCCTTCACAGTCTCAGTGTAACCTACTTCAACAGACACTCAAGTTACTCAACAGCCACTCTCCTCCTGCTTTGATAAAAGAACCCTGATTTTGTTCCCTTTCCTCCCACTTGACAAGTCCTTCATTTGTCC